AAACTATAGAACAATAGTTTAATAAGGAATAAGAATTGAATCACATAAGTCAGTCAAAATAAACCCAGAAGGAATCTATTGTGAAACATACTACCAATTGACAAGGAATGCCATAATTGGAATTCTTCAAATAAGTTTAGAACAAACATTTTAGGAGGTAGGGTTACCAGGTAAAGTATAAGATGGCCAGTTAAATTTGAATTTCAGATAAACATTGAATGATTTTTATTAATGTATGTCCTGTGCTTAAAAACTGTTGTTTATCCGCAATTCAGATTTAACTGAGTATCCTATTATATTTACTTAGAAAAATTGGTAATCCTAGTATGATAAAAAGGTTATGAGAATGCCCCATGATCACACTCAACAATCTGATCCTTCTTTTGATGATAGTGTTACCATATTTGTTTGCAGGTGTGAGGTATGGGCCCCAGTGAAGCATTTTCTGGAACACAGGGAGAACCTTTTGGGGAATCTTTTCTACATTTAAGTGGCTATTAGGGATTTCGCCTTAGAAAATTGTAAAAGTTACTTGTGAAAAAGAAAAGAGAGTTTTTTAAAAAAAGGGAAAATTGAAACTACTGAAAGCATCTAATATTCAGTGGACTAGATGGATAATGTCTTGTGTATTCCAGGAAACAAAATGGGGTGTCATCCCTCCTGAGAGGGATCATCCAGTTTGCTTTATCAAGTGTGAGCAAGGCTGGGTTGCCACTGTTGTTTATGCTCCTGATATACAGTGGCTCTTGTGTTCTGGCTTCTGTTTTTATTAGGGTTGTAAAAACATTACAAAAACTCTAACAGTAAGCACTCTGCCAAGAAAGTGAGGTCATAGTAATATGACCCCACAGGGAGCCAGGTCCTTAGAAGCCCTAGAGACCAACAGATAACTGGACTTGTAGGGCAAAGAGTACTGGGAAGGGGCTTATAAGAGGACATATATTTGGCCGAGGCACCCTGGGCTCTGGGATGAGTTCTTTTTGGGCTCTGTCTGATTGCTGGTAAGTTTATATTTATATTGCTAGGCTTTCTGATTTAAATGAAACAGTTTCTGTTCTTATTCAAGTAATCTCTTAAATCATGAAGTGGGACAGATGAAGCCATCTAGGAATGAAAGTATTTATCCTCACTGTAGTCCTTATTTTCTATTTTATTGAAGATTTTTTTTAAAAAATTATTTATTCATGACAGAGAGAGAGAAAGAGACACAGGCAGAGGGAGAAGCAGGCTCCGTGCAGGGAGCCCAATATGGGACTCGATCCCGGGTCTCCAGGATCACACTCCAGGCCGAAGGTGGTGCTAAACTGCTAGGCCACTGGGGCTGCCCTTATTGAAGATTTTTTTAAGAAGATCCAGAGAAGTCTGATTTTTACAGATTTTTAAATTACCTCTTTTTGATGAATGTAGGGAGAATGAGGCGAAATAGCCTAGGTTGGGCAAGAGAGTAGGAAGAGGGGAAACATAAAGAATGAAAAATAAGAAACAGGAGTGACTGTGACCACTACATTTGAAAAATACATATACTCATTAGGATAAGTCTCTTGTATTTGAACAAAATTTTTGCAGTGCCGTATATCTGGTGTAATTATACCATTTACATGGAGTGATTAAATATATGCCATAAATTTGTCATGAAAAATGAGCAATAAGTGGCAGTGTAATTGAAAAGAAAATTCTTTCTTTGGCATTTGTTTTTTTCTCCATGATAGCTACTATATAGAGTAAGAGAATGCATGCAGACACAACTGCAGGGATTTTCTTTTACAATTAAAAAGATTACTTGATCGTCACTAAAATAGTTCTTGGAATTAATATTTTATGTTTCAGCCATGAATGTGGGAAAACCTGAAATGTGAATTGTCCTTTAAATGAATTTTCTGATATGAGTTTACTTATTATAGCTTTGCTGTATATAGTGATTAAATACTCATTTTTCTGATAGGATGGATTTCATAAAACTGGCTGGTAACTGTGGAGGAAGGTTTAGGATGAAAAAATATTTAAATGTATTTGCCTGAAGATCTCATCATAATGAAGCAATTTTATTAATTGGTATCTGTCTCTGTTGGAAAATTATTTAAGGTGGCTAATTGTTTAAAGAAGGATTACTAAACATCTTAGTTTGCCTGGGACAATTCCAGTTTATGTTTGTTGTCCTGGCATTGACTGTGGTTTAACATTTTACGTTGACTTTAAAAAATGAAGTATTAATCATTAATAGCTACAGTAAAATAAGTCAGCTTGAGTTTGATAAGCCTCCACTTGGTACTTCTAAGCTTCTCCGCAGTCTCCTCTGGGATGTGTGAGTGGACGTGTGCGTTGAACAGAATTTTCACATAGTTGAGTCTAAAAGACAATGTGGGGTAATCTCTCTTTTCCCTCCCTGTATGCTCCCTGTCAGGGACAGCATGTGGAATACTTGTTGATACAATGAGCTCGGAGAGAAGTCGTGAGGGGCAGTTCTCTGCCTCCAGTCTGGTAGTGGTTGGGGATGTCTGGGGATGTCTGGGGATGTCTGGGGCTGTGCGGTCCCTCGGGCTACTTGGTGTATGGGCTGGGCAGACAGTGGCAGGAGCTGCATTTGAGGGATAGTGAACCTGCTAGGCTACCACTTAGTTGGTGTAATTTCCAATTACAATGGAAAATTGTGAGGTAGAATAAGTAACAAAAATAGATATTGAATAGTTCTGCTTAGAAATATGTTCGTTTTTTGCTATAATGATTTTCGTCGTTTATTATATACTGTAAGTTCACAACTAATTTTTTTTATTGGTAGTACCTTTTTAAAAAACATTATAACAATTATAATTACATACTTAGTGATTTTATCATCCCTGTTCCCTCTTCCAAGTGTCTCGGGCTAGACAATAAATGGATACTCATAAATTAGGACAAGTTAAAGAAGAATATGATAGAGCAAAGACCTGCAGAATGAGGCCTCTTGGCCTATTTCAGCCTAACCTGGAATGGTTTTAAGTTTTAAGAGGTTGAAAAAAAAAACCCCACGAAAAACAAGCATGTGTAATAGAGAACTTATGTGTCCTTACCTGAAATATTTACTATCTAGTTCATTACAGAAGAATTTCTATATCTGGTTTAGAGTCTGTGGTAAGTATGTTGGAAGGCTACTTAACGTCTAGTTTATCACAAATGTATCTATTCCTCATTCACCAATTTGGAAATTACTGCATTATTGGTGTCCATGTTATAAATTGCATGATGTATCATTCTATAGGCAGCCACAGACTATAGTTTGTGATCTTTTTCAAGAGCAGAGGTGCTGGGCAGCCCTGGTGGCGCAGTGGTTTGGCGCCACCTGCAGCCTGGGGTGTGATCCTGGAGACCTGGGATCGAGTCCCACATCAGGCTCCCAGTGTGGAGCCTGCTTCTCCCTCTGCCTGTGTCTCTGCCTCTCTCTCTCTCTGTGTCTATGACTAAATAAATAAAAATCTTTAAAAAAAAAAAAAAGAGCAGAGGTGCTCACAGGTGTTTTGCATGGCTTACTGAGGCCCTCTTAGGATGTTTATGAGGTTGAAGTTATTTTATAATAACAGTATACAGCATTATTTTCCTTTTTCACTATATTGATAATCACACTGATGGTACAAAAGCCATGGTGAGGGCTTCAGCACAAATCAACGTAGAGGCACTAAACTGTCCTAATCATTCTGATGTTCTTTACTGTCCTGCATGCAAGATAAAAAAGCCAGTCTCACCTAAAAATTCCTTAATAAAAATTCCTTGATAATTATATTTTAACCCTTGGGTACATACCCTTTTAATTTCACATGTGATGAGATGGAAAATATGCATAAAACACTTCTCCTGATGGTTTTCTTGAGGACAATTTTGTATGCAATTTGAGTTGTGACTTATAAACTAGTTACTTTTTAGGAAATGCAATTTTAGGAAAAATGTTGCCATTTTTTCAGTGTAGATGATAAGCCATGGTTATTGGCAGCCATTTTCTCAAAAATTAATTGAGTAAGCCTATCAATACTTTAAGAAAACAATTGATAGTATTTGTTGCCAACAATACAATTGTGAGCTTTCAGTCAAAACCTAGAACTGTGGAAAACTTCTATCTTCCACTAAAAGTTTAGTAGCTTTTCCGTACTTAAAGATTTTGATGAAGATAGTAGTGGTGACATAATAAACGTGATTTTCAAAACTAGTGTGTAATAAAATGTGAACCAATATTTTGCCAATGACCAGTGCATGGTACAGAATCTTGCCTGGGTAAAAGATCCATTTAAAGACGAAGACAAATTTTAATATGAGTACAAAAAATTCTTTGATACTATATTGACCCTAACCTTTGGGAAACTACCACTTATCTTATTTTAGTGCCATATAAAAAAAAGAATATCTACAATTATCTGAAAAGTATATTAAAATACTTCTTTTTCTAACTAAATTATCTGTGTGGGACTGGATTATTTTAATTTCAACCAAAACAAAATATTGGTTACAAATAGATGTGGCAGTGAGAAACCCAGCTGTCTTCTAGTAAGCCAACCATTAAAGAAATTTGTAAAAAATGTAAATAGTTATTGCTTTTCTCACTAAATTTTATGTTATTGTTTTGGAAGTTATAATTATTTTTAATAAAATATTTATATTCATGAAATGAGCTAGTTATTTTTAAGTGAGTTAGTATTTAAATTTTTTCTTTTTAAATTACTAATATGGTGAATTATCAATAGATATAACAACTCAGATAAACACAAAGGTCTTTGGAGTCCTCCATATTTTTTAAAATGTAGTGGTACTGAGATCAAAAGTTTTGAGAACTGTTCATCAAGGGTTTAAGCCATCACTTTGAAAGATATTGAAATATAACAGCTGGAAGTACTTTTATGAATAATTAAGTATAAAACTATCTCATCTAAATTTTTTCATTTGGTTCTATGGCACGATAATTTCATCAGCTAGTTTCCCTTTTTGTCACATAAAAAAAAAAACTTTTCTGTTTTTTTCTTCTTTATCAATTCTCACAGCAATGCTGGTGTAAAAACAACCCTGCTAGAGGCTCATTCTGAGATGGGGAGCACTGAAATTCTGGAAAAGGAGGCCTCAGAAAGTCTCAGTAATGGTACCCGCAGCAACATAGAAGCAGCCAGGAGGCTGGCCAGACGACTTTATCAACTAGACAGATTCAAAAGGTCGGATGTTGCAAAGCACCTAGGCAAGAAGTACGTTCTATACTAGGGCTGGTGTTTGCATATGTCCTCGTTTGTGTCTCATTTTTATTTTTATTTTTTTATTTTTTTATTTTTTTATTTTTTTTATTTTTTTGTGTCTCATTTTTAATAGCTTGAATTTGAATAACAAAGTCTGTCTTGTTTTCTTATAGCAATGAATTTAGCAAACTAGTTGCAGAAGAATATCTGAAGTTTTTTGATTTTACAGGAATGACCCTGGATCAGTCTCTCAGGTATGATTAAATATCACTTCTGTTCTTTTTTGCTTCCAAATGATTAGTTCTGAGAAGAGAAAGTAATGCTGAAACTAAAATCTGATTTTTCTTTTTTTTAGAGCACAGTGACTTTGTGATCTTAGCCCAGATAAGGCATTAGTAGAATGAAAATTATATTGTTTTTATAAAAACACACATGAACTCATATTTTGTATCTAGTAGATGATGTAGAAAAGAATAGTGACAAAGTAAGTCTTGAGAAGTGGAATCTGGGAATTTGGTTTTCGAATGATCAGTTTAAAGAAGGCACAGATTTATAATAACCAAATAGCCTTCTAAGATGATACTTTGGAATTAATTCATGAATGGAATAAAAATGAATATCACCATACTAATAAGCAGAAGATATCTGCAAAACTCTTTTAGGTAGTAACACATTTTGCTCATGTGTTCAAATTAAAGTTTAATAAACACACTGATCCTCACTTTTCACACCATATGGTACTGTAAATTTCTAGGAGCCACTGAAGGTAAAACCCAGTCAGCAGTTACTCTTATAAACTTTATAATGTGTCAGAGCCTGGAGGAATTGTGAGATCATCTGTGTAACCCTATAGTTTTATAAATCACGAATCTTGAGAGGTAAAGTGAGGGTGTTTGGATTAGAATGCACAATAGTGACTTATTCAGTGGCACTTCGCGTGAATTGAGGGCATGCATAGGTTTTCCCACTGAAAACAGATAAGAGGAGAGGAAATATCTATATTTGTAGTTTGCTTTCTGATGTGGTTTATAAAAGACAGTTATGAAAAACTAAAGTTTGATCAATATAATTTAGATTTAACAAACTAAGATAGCAACATTTTCATCATAGAAATAAGATTTTTTTTTAAAGATTTTATGTATTTATTCATGAGACACACAGAGAGAGAAGCAGAGACACAGGCAGAGGGAGAAGCAAGCTCCATGCGGGGAGCCCGATATGGGACTTGATCCTGGATCCGGGGATCACACCCTGAGCCAAAGGCAGATGCTCAACTGCTGAGCCACCCGGGTGTCCCAGAAATAAGATTTTTGTATGTTTCTTTTAATTGTAAGATTTCTTAGAGCATTTTAAAGGATTTTATTTTTCTTCCCATCTTATGTTCAGGGAAGTCCATATGCTTTGGCAAGTGAGGATTTTATCACTAATAGACAATACTCTTAGTGACTCTGATTTAGATTGGTGTGTGGTTCTAGGCATATTTTTACTTTTCAAAAATTTTTATACATAAATTAATTTATTCTTAACCTAAGGAATAAATTAGGATTTTGGCTCCCAATTTTCTTCTCATATAAAAAGTTAGTAATATAATATGATAATAGGCAAAATAAAATTAACAGAAACCTACTGTACACAGGATAATAATATAGTTGTAATTTTAACAATGTGTCGGTAGCAAATACAATCAATCATACAGCAAGATGACAAACAATGATCCAAGTGTAGTTTTAAAACATAGCCTACATGGTTATGGGTTGGTTCAGTCTTGAGTGTTCTTTGGTTTTTATCTGACCTATCTTTTAAATGGCTACTTGTCACTTAGTCATATGGGAGAGTTACTACCTTCCCAAAGCATTTCTTAATGTATTAACTACATGTTATTGGTATTGCCTTTCATTTTTTATATTGACATTTTATAGAATTAAATAAATTTATATTGAATGGCTATCTAGTAAGTGATTTAAAAAAATAACTGTAGGGATCTCTGGGTGGCACAGCGGTTTGGCGCCTGCCTTTGGCCCAGGGCGCGATCCTGGAGACCTGGGATCGAATCCCACATCGGGCTCCCGGTGCATGGAGCCTGCTTCTCCCTCTGCCTGTGTCTCTGCCTCTCTCTCTCTCTGTGTGTGACTATCATAAATAAATAAAAATAAAAAAATTAAAAAATAAAAAAAGAATTAAAAAAATAACTGTAGAATATCTATCTTACTTTGTATAATTAATTTCTTGTATAGAATTAGCTTTAATTGTCAAACATGAAAAGTATGGTAATCTTTTCTAGTTTCACTTTTTTTCTCTTAAATCTTTTTAAGGTATTTCTTTAAAGCATTTTCTCTTGTGGGAGAAACTCAAGAACGAGAGAGAGTTTTAATACACTTCTCCAATAGATACTTTTATTGTAACCCAGATGCCATTGCTTCACAAGGTAATTTGATGCAAATGTTTATATTTCCAAAAACAAGTCTTATTTTTCTCACTATGAAAGTTATATTTTATTGTGGAAAATATGGAGGATTATACAGAAGAAAATGAAAATCATCTAGATATCTCTAATTATCTGGAGATAACTATTATTCACTGATATATTTGCTTCTGCTCTATTTGTACAATGTTGAATTCGAATCATTCCAGAGGTTTTTTTTTTCCTGTTGTTTCCTTTTCGTTTTGAGCATTTTCTCATGTCATTAAATACTCTTTAAAAAACATGATATTTAATGACTGCCTGATATTCTTTTCTTTTAATTTTTTTTTTTACTTTGCTTTCCAGTTCCATAGTATGACGAGATGCTTTAAGTTGCTAATGCGATCACTCAGAGATTTTACATGCAAAGCATATTGTAATAAATGAAATGCCAGCTTTCTTATTTCTTCTCCCTATACATCTGATCTCTAAACTTCTTGAAGTGCATGTTTGCTTAGTTTTGTGGTTAGGGATAATAATGTTTTGGGAACATTTACAAATCGTACTGGAGTTTGTAGTGTGTCTCCAGTGCTTTGGTTTGATATTCATTGTAACAGCACTGACCACTGACTTTGGTTTGTGATTTTAATGAACTATGAGTTTATATTCATTGTATTATTTTTAAAATGCAACTTTATTTATTTTTCACCCTACCAAAAGGTTTCTCCTCCATGTTGATTCCTGCAATAAAGCAAAATTTTCAAAGGTTGACACATTCATTTGCCATTGGAGAATCTTTAATAAACACAAATCCGAAATAGATCACTAGTACTAAATGCATAAGAAATAACAATTCTGTCTTAGCTTCAGTATTGTCAGTTAACTGGGATGAGTGAACTTATCCCCCAGCCTCTGCCCTCTAGTGTATAGCTAAATTAACTAACAAACTGATCATTAGAGTCACTTCCTCTCTGTGAAATAGAAACTTAATTTTCTTTAGTCCTTTTTTTGATTATATTTAGATTACTTATTCACTGTTTCTATCACTATCAGGATTGAGTAGAGAATGAAAGAGATAGAAGGGAGTTGTTTTTATTAAAACCTCCTTCAAATCTAATAAAATGTTGACATTCCTTTTTTTTTTTAAGACTTTATATATTTGAGAGAGAGAGAGAGAGGAGAGAGCAAGAGAGAGCACAAGCAGGAAGGAGGAGCAGGCTCCCCATTGAGCAGGGAGCCTGATGGCAGGACTTGATCCCAGAATCCTGGGATCATGACCTGAATTGAAGGTAGACACTTGACCAACTGAGCCACCAGGTGCTCCATACGGTGACATTGCTGAGTGAAATAAGGAATATGGATGTGTACACTCAACTGGACATTGATAAGGATACATGAGAGTTGGCTGCTAAGTTTTACAAATGCTTTCAAGGAATTTATTTTAAATGTATTTAAAATTTAATAAACTGGAACTGGAATAAATATACTTTTGGACATTTAGTAGCATCTCCTTAGAGACCTTAATGACAGAAATCACCTACTATACTCAAAGGCATACTCCTGAAGAATAAGTGGTCTTTAATTCATGAATTCAGGAATTAGCAAGGCCTTGCTGTATATTTGGCATACACTAATAAGATTTTTCTGTATCTGCAACCACCTTTGTCTACTATACTTAGATTGAAAAATGGGGGAAAAGAATGGGAGAAGTAATTCTAAGGTTTGGAAATGAGAAGCTTAATTCTTAGTGCTTCTTCTTTTCCTTTATAAAGTAAGGAGAGAGTGATGTTTCTGTCTAAATGTGACATAATCCGTCTGGTTTAAGCAACATTTTCCCCCTGAATATTTTTCAATCTTTACAGATTATTGTATTTTTCAATCTTTACAGATTATTGTATTATTGTATTTTTGTTTGATCCATAGTATCCCGGACCAGTCAAACCTACATGTTGCCTTTAATGAATTGTCGAGAAAGAGGATAACTGTTCCTGCCCATATGTTTTTAGCCAGAGAACTGATACCCAGACAGTACAATGAAAGACCCAAATCTTAGTTTTCTTTGACTTTTGCTTCTTTCTTCACTTTCCTCCCAGGAAGTAAAAAAAAAAAAAAAAGAAAAGAAAGAAGAGTAGCAAATGACTTATTTTCGCTTCTGTATCTTGTGTTACAGAAAATTGGGAAAATATAAATAAAAAGATAAAAATTATCTCACTATCCAGAGACAATAATCTTTTAATATAATGTTATATATTATTCTAAATGTATTTATATTTAAATGGTACCATACTGCATATAATGTGTTTTTTATATAATAATTTATTGTGAACTATCTATTTCAACATGTATACTTGGACAACATTTTTAGTGACTTAAACATAATAGGATTGTGTTTTTGGAGGGTTTTATTTACTTGTTCCCCATTGTAAGCAACGTTTCTTTGGATACACTTGTATTTTGTATAGATCTTTATTTCCTTAGTGAAAAGCCCTATAAACTAATTTGATATGTCAAAAGATACTGTTTCAAAGCTTAAGGTATGTACTATCAAATTGCCCTCCAAAGAGGGAAGAATAATATAGTTTATCACCAACAGAGTTCAACTCTGTACACTGAGGTCCTTTTAATAATTTATCTATTTCTTGTCTCCCTAACAGATATGATCAATGGTGGCTAGCTACATTATTATGTGTTCATAGGTTCTTAATGTATGCTACTTTAATGATAATAAGGAATCCAACAGGAAATAGCGAATCAATGCTTTCTTTCCTTGTCTCTTCTCTTAGATGGAGTCCATTGTCTCACTTGTGCAATGATGCTTCTTAACACAGATCTCCATGGCCATGTAAGTATAGGTGTGTGAAGCTGTCTTAGAGAAAGTGAAATATCTTGGGCTTATCTTTGCTTTTGCATTCACATGTGCTTTTTCTCTGCCTCCCTACTCTCATTCTCTACATGGCAGGTAGGTAAATGTAAATCCTTGGAAAAAGAAATAACTTTATGAGCATAATTCACTTAAAAGTGAATATATTGTCTACATGTGTGGAATTGTCTTATCTGTAGTGAGTGTGTTCTGTATCTTCTTTCTCCAGTAGATGGCAGAGACAGAGCATTTGCTTTTTTGTTTCATTTTTTTGGTTAGCTATTTGGGTTAATATTTGATGGAAAGGGGATATAAGTTAGATCTGAAAATATTAACTGTATTTTTACTAAATACAGTAGCTAGCCAGTCTTAGGATCAGCCTTTTCTACACTTCTCAGTTCACATTGGCCTTTTACTAGTTGAAATATCAAAATAATCTAATTACTGTCTCATCTTCTATTTAAGATATAGAGTGAAATTTAATTTCTAATTATATATAAATTTTTACCTATCATAGATGTGAAGTTTTAGCATTCACTTAAACTTTATATTAGAGAAAATGAAAGTGTTTTTGTTTAATATAGGCCAATATATACTTAGCACAAAAATTATTTCATTAGTCCCAGGTCCATTTATTTTGAAGAGAAAACCAGGTTTCTTATAATTAAAGAATCTAGATCATTCCTTGATTTGCTATACAATGTATTTTGCAATTTAAAAAAAATCACATTAAAAGAACTAAAACTTTAGGTATCCATCCAAATTTGATTTCATATTCCAAAAGGCTATATAATTTCCTTAGGAAAGGCAAAATGGAGCTGTATGGGGCCATTGAGATGGTTTGAAGGGAAAATAAGTGTTCTATCATCAGAAAAATGAAGAAGAGTTGTAGTGATAGTTAACATTGCCTTTGCAAACCTCACAATACTCAACCAGGAAGTTCCTACTGCAATTTGCATTAGAGGTAAATTTAGAATAACCTATTGATTCAGAGATACGTGTCCAGAGGTGATGCAGAATAAAATTAGTAGATACTTTCGAAGGACATTTTGGGGTCATGGCATCGTAATACATCTTGGGGAAATGAAAGTACTAGGATTCCCATAATGTGAGCCTTGACATGAGAATCAGAATCTAAACTCATCCAGCTTGTAATGGGGATGACCGGTCAGTGGACAGTCCTGACCACTGTTTTTCTCTCCTTTCTTCTCTGTCTTATGGTGACAGTTACAATCCTGTCCCCATTCTTTTCCTCCCACATAATTTCTCAACTTTCAGCTGAAAGAGACAATTTTGAATACTCTTGTCCACATATAACTTTGATCCAAGTCAGTGAGTTCCAGCATGAGGTATCTTCTTCACATGAGATATTTTGAGGTCTCCTTCACATACAGTGGTTTTGCAGTTAGTGTCTGTTGACTGAGAAAATGTGTAATGACCAAAAAAAAAGTCCAGTAATACTCTCAATTCTTATTTAAGAGTTGAGGATCTCATAGAACTTCTGTGGTAGTTGCTAGATGGGAGACTGGTTTCTTTTAAAACCTGAATTACTTTGTGGAAAGCTAATATTGCTTTAATAATACTTTCAAATAAACTTGTGTCTTATTAATCACAATACTTTGAAACATAGTAGTAAATAAAGGTGTGAAGATTGTTTTTTATTCAGATAACTCAGCATACTTGATATCCAAACTAGCCATGGGCACCCTAGTGTCTATGTCCATAGGTTCAGAACCACAAACCTCAGATTTGCTCTTGCTCTGTCTTCAGACCACTTTTGAATAACTGGAAAGAGATTAAGTGGAGCATCATACTTCTTTTTGGCAACTAGAATGTAAGAGTTTATAGGTAAGAGGCAGTATACAAATGAGCAGTTTAATATTATCCTGATTTATGCCAATCATACATATTAACACTTGGCTATAGTGACAGAATTACGTATGAGGGAGAATATTATAAGTACAATAGCATCATCATATTTTTAGTGATTATTAGTTCTTAGCTTTGTTTTTGAAAAATGTGTGCTATATATTTAGGATTATCTGTTTAGGTTTTAAATAGTAGAGGTGCTTTTTAATCCTTAATTACAATGGATGCTGTTAAAAGTTTGCTGAATATATAGTAGTTTCATAAAAACTAACCATATGAAAATGTGTTTCTTTTTCTTCCAACTCTGGATTCACTTAAAAAATAAATTTTCCTTCTAGGTGGTAAGTTTTTATCCATAATTTTGGATGTAGCTTCTCTTGCATCATGATTGCCTGATTTATTGTTACAGTATTTGTTTGACTTAATAGCATGGCCCCTTTGAAGGTGAATCATTCAAAATATAAAGTTGAATTATTTCCAGTGTTGGCCACTTTTCACCTCCTTAGGCTATACTGCCTAGGCCATCATCACCTCTCATTACTTAGTCTAATACTAGAATAATCCTCTTGGGGAGTGAACTAATATAAACCATTTTCTTTTTCTTCCTTACCATTTTGCCATGATAGCAATACAACAGCATGATCTTTCTCAGAAGTACTGAGATAAACTTGTCCTCATGCTTTCAGTGGGGGAGGCATAACTTGGGAATTAGCTTCTTTTGGCTTTTTTTTTTTTTGTGTGTGTGTGTGAATCCTCCTTGAAAGTTTTATTTACTCTAAGGAATGATGATACATTGAAAATGCACTGGTATGGGCCTTTGTTCGTTCTGTTAACTTTCTTACTAATAAAATGACAAAACGAATACTAATAATATAGCATATCTAATAGCATATCTAATATAATGTTATATGTTGGAATGCCTTTCTGCCTTTCTTTTTAAAATTTATTCTATCATTCAACAAACACAGTATGTCTACTCTATCCAAGTTCTGTGCCATTTGGGTAAGGATCGGGAATGAATGAGACATTCATGGAAGTCAAATTTCATTTCTGGTAGTGTTGGTTAGGCTGATTTCCATTACTCCTTTTAACTGAAGAATGATAGCAGGTAAATGAGGTGCTATGGTGGAAAAGTACTGGGGTGCTATTTTAATTATACCTTAGATTATTGAATTTCACTAAGTAGCCTGGGGGAAAAAAAACAAACTGAAGAAAATGCAATATTTTTGGGAGAAGTTCATTCAGATGTTATAATTTTGTTGGAGCTAAAAAACGATGATTCTCTTTCTTACCTATTTTTAAAAATATGAATGGCACATCATTATTTTAGCAATAGTATTGACTTGGTTTTGTTTGTCTGCATGTGGTTTATTCTCTTAGATGAATTAAGTATTTTATAATTATGGTCACATGGATAATTTGCTATAAGTAATCTCTTATTTTTAAAATGCCTCTTCATCTGTGAAATATGTATGTAAATTAAATTTTTGCACATACAGATAAATTTCTATTAAAATAAACTCTAGAGTTAATTTTTCTCTTACTGTACTAGAACTAAGTTGTATTGATGTTTAAACTACCAATGTGGAAAGAGCTGAAAATCTGAAAATCTTTTTTCTTTAAAGCCTTGTGTTTTATTGGAAATAGTATGAATAAAAAGATTTTGTCATGTTAGAATAAATTCAAACCTATTTCTTTTCTGGACTAATATTCAAATGTACTTTATTGACTCTAGCTCTCTGGTACTTCTATCATAGTTGAGATTCAACTATCTGCCAGGATTATCACTTGGACCGAAGACAGGTATCAGGGGCAGGACAATAAGCAGGAACTTCTCACCAGGACTGGACCCTGAGGTGGGAGGAGGTTTTAGATATAGACTGAGTTGTAATGAAAAGTGGGATAGATAAGTATAGAATCAGTTGGTCAGTTTCACAACTAGAAGTCAAAAGAGATCTATAAGACAGTGGCTGCCAGGGTCAGACCATGGTCAAAAGCAATAGCCAGGACATTATTTTTAATGTGGCTTAAGATTTTTAGTAGCAATTTTACCCGAAGTATCTTATGTTTTTCAGTGATGGCAGGAGCTAGCCCTCTCTGCAACAGGTGTAAAGGGGTTGGGGGTGTGGTTCTGGAGTGGTGGCTCTGTGTGGCTCAGGCAAGAAGCATCCTGTAGATATCTTTGGGATACTCTGAGTGTGTTGAGTATCATCCTCAGTGGTCTGAGTTTAGTGTATGAGGCAGGTCCTTACTGTTTTTTTTTGTTTTGGTGTTCAGTTGTAGGTTGAATAAGGAATAAAACGCAGTGGGACGCCTGGGTGGCTCAGTGGTTGAGCATCTGCCTTCGGCTCAGGGCATGATTCCAGAGTCCCGGGATCGAGTCCCACATAGGGCTTCCTGTATGGAGCCTGCTTCTGCCTCTGCCTCTGCCTCTGCCTCTCTCTCTCTGTGTGTCTCTCATGAATAAATAAATAAAATCTTTAAAAAAAAAAAAAGGAATAAAACCCAGTTAGTATACCATACTGGTAGGGGGCCATAAAGAAGTCAAGGAATCAAGTATAGATTTTGTTAATAGAATAGTGTTAAAAAAATATATATGTAGTTCAGTTTGACATAGGTCACAGCAGTCCATTATTTTCCAGTCTGTAAACTGCACTGGTAATTGTGTTTTTAATTTCTAGGTTTGCTCTGTAGGATCATAGAGTTTTAAATGGCAGGTAAAATATTTGGTTTATTATCAGAAGTGGAAAATGACTATTATAAGTAGAATTGTTTAATACATTTAGTTTTCATGTATGCTGTTTTTCCTTTCTACTCACAAAAGCATCACAAACCTTTGTGAGGTTGATAAGTAGGTTTAATATCCTTAGGAAAGCTCTTGCTGTGATTATCGTTATTGTAACTGGAAGCTACCTTAAGTACCTTTTGTCTACTGCCCTCCCTCCTGGATAGCTTTCTTCTCTATGGGCTCCTCTCCTGTCTGTGCTGTCCCATATCCTTGATATCCTTGATGCCCTCTGCCAGGAAAGCCATCCCTGGCATTCATTAATTTTCCTAAGTTTTACCCTACTGTAGATTCTAGCCTTGTTCTTAATTTCCATTCACCCAGCACA